TTACATCTTCTCCCATTTTGTTGTTAGAACATATCTGTAATGATAACTAACAAGTAAAGATGTGCCACCATCACTGAAAACTCTTTACCTTTTTAAAATACAGCTTTCTACAATACAATACTTTAGGGGCAAGCCAATTTTATTTACGTATCAATTTAGAATTTCTATAACTTGAGAAAGAAACCTTAAGGTGCATCATTTTCAGGTGCTTGATATTGCCTACACTATTCCTCGACACCTGAAGATTAACTGCTTAAAAATACAAATAATAAAACAATAAGGTATGATGGAAAAGCAATTATATGTCTACAAAGCAGTATAATATATTGGGTAGTTGTTAACACCTTTTGACTCTTACATCAGCCTCCTCACTTGTTGGGGAGGGGAATCAAAGGGAATCTAGAGGAACATAGGTGTTTATTTTTCCCCATGCTAAATTTCAGGCTCAGGTGGACATTCAGCAGCTGAGAACTGGCAGGGATGATTAGCTTTTTGATTTTTTGTATCTGATAATAGAAGACACTAGATTCCATTAAGTGACCCTTCTAGACCTTCATCATACTTGTGGTGCACACATTCTCCCTAATGGCTAAGGTATACCTTTTACCATGCTTAGGGTTTATTTGCAAAGCTTTAGCAAAGCAAGGGGGCATATGTAAGGTTGTTTCCATTGTTATTTCAGACTAATTCAGATGTTGCCTGAAATATCACTGTTAGCTGACTATTCCAGATACAAACATTATTAACTCCTGTAACTAGAAATAGGTGGTTTTGGTGTTTGCTCTGTATTAGCATTTTGGAAAAATCTGGATTGGCTTTTAATTTTTGATTACTTTTTTATATATACTGATTTCATTACAACATGTTTCTAGGATATAATCTCAATACATGGGAGAGGTGTATAATAATTTGCTGATATGCTTTCTTTTTGTCCTAACTCTAATTAAATCAGTTTTATCTGTAGCATTTAAGGCTTAATAATATTAATCCCTTTTAATCTTACCTGTTATCTTCACAGTGCTATTCTAACAACAAAAATGAGATAATATTTAAATACAAATTTTGAATACATTAATTAGGTTTATGCAAAGAATATCATTTAATGTCTTTGAAGCAATAAAAAACTGGTAAATGAACATTAATATTTGTTTCTACTTGTGTACGAGTCTTCTTTGAAGCTAAACCTTCTGCTTACTCTCAGGCTTCAACTTCTTTGACTTTCAAAACCAGGGTTCAATTATTTACAGAGTAATCATTGAACAAGTTTATTCATTAAAAAAAAATAAGTCCTATTGTGTTCAATGAAATTTATGTCCATGTAAGTATGCATTCAGCTGCATCTTTAGTGAAATAATTTCTATGTAGCTGGATTCTTGTAGTTAGGCTGGATCCACACTGTTTAACATTATTAGAACGATATTAGATACAGTATACCATTCTAAAACATCACAGGGCATACTTGTAAATCAAATCTTTTTTACCTTGGTTTCTCTGTTTCTCCCTGCTGCTGTCTGCTGTTTGCTCTGCAGCGCCTTCTGGTGTCACATTTTAATACTGCATTAAGAACATTAAAAGCAGTATGTCACCTACGTCATGACAACCATTCCTTAACCCTTTTTTTAACTTTAAAAACCATAAGTGTAGATCCAACCTTAGACTGAGAACTGTAATCAGGTTGTAGTGGCTCTTTGCAGGACAGCTGATCCATGTGTTTAGGTCCTGCTACCCAGATCACATTCTCCCACGTTCTCCTTAAAATTAGTTGGTCACATGGATGGGCCTTTTGAAAGAATATGCACAATGAATGGAATTGTTTTAATGCTGTTATTGTTAGGTAAACACATATTTACTCTTAGGTATTAAGAGGAAGAGGGTTTTTCTTAGCAAAAAACCAAGTTTTGAAAAGGTTGTAATGTTTTGTAACTAAGTTATTTCATAAAACTAGGAAATGAGATTTCATATGTGAAATGTGGCTATATACCAGCAATTCAAAAATAGAAAATAAGTTGATGGAAAGAGTACGCTGTTTTTCCTAGGAGACACTCCTGGAAAAATGAACGTTTTCTACAATAGTGAATCCTCCTAAGGTTAAGAAATTATTTTTTGCAATCTGTTCATACATAACACATAAGACATCTCTATTCAATACACTTCAAGCCTGAAGGGTTTGTCATGCAGAAAATAGTATGAGAAAAATCTCATCTTGCTCACAATGAAATACCCTGAATTCTTTTTGACTGGCTTGTTGCATTTTACTTAAATAATTAGGACCATCTGTTCTGCTATTAAAAAGTTCCAAACATTGTGGCAGACGCGGATATGATTGCAAATCATTAAGCATCATTCTGCAAAAATAAATATGTACTTCTAAAATTAACATGGGGAAATGTTCTTCTGGCACAAACATTTAAACTATATTTGACCCAATAAATGCTTTTCATCAAGCATTTCACAAGCCTTATGGTTAGAAGCCAAGTGCCCTAACCTGCAGGTGCTTTTCAATATGATTTCTCTTTACTTTTTCCCTATATCCATAATCTTAATTCTTAGAAATATTATGGATTTCCTCTACCTTTCTTCACAATGATCTGATTTGGTTGTAGTGATCTATAAGGTGCCTTCCACAAAAATTGCTGTATGTTGATGAAGAATGCTACCAGTTTATCCACTGAAATTTTCAGGAGGTTTTGTAACTTCTGTGCACATGTATGCACATTCTCAGATCTAGTTCAATGGTATTCCACTTCACTCTCAGTCCTGACCCCCTCGCCCCCCAAAAAACAGAAGCAGAAGCTTTGACATCATGAAGTTCATCCCTTCATTTTCTTCATTGCACATGGTGGCCAATGTGAACCCATTTTTTTTCTTGGTGGAGGCTTTCCTATATGCCACATGATCCTGGTTCATGTCCTGCAAAATATATGGGATGGCTACAAAGAAGCAACCAGGAGTTTGAAGTGAACTTCTAATTGTTCAATTGCAAGTGGGGCCAATTAGTTGATCGGTGCTGACAGAGGGATCCGTGACAATTGGCTGCATTAGGGACTCCCCACTGGGAAGTCCATACTGCACCAATTTGCATCAAATCCCACTTGCTAAAAGGAAGCCTTACTCCATTGTTTTACCATGTGATTTCAATGGAAACTTCTGTTCATGCTTCCACCACCAACCAGCTCATTGGCACTGGGAATATACCTACAAAGGAAGTAGTTGAAACCATCCATCAGCTGATTGATGGTTTAAGTGACTCCCACTCCTTTGAAATTTGGTGTCCCTCATTTGATATTATAAAGACTCAGTTGACAGACAGGTGGCCAGTCCCATTCACATGCCAAAATTGGCCCATGGAAAGTATGGGGACATATGGATGTGGCCTACCAGCCAGTTCCAGTCCTCCTCCCCATGCCCCCTGCTATAACTACGTTACACAACCACAGGGTTAACTCAACACATCACACAAAATCATTTTAATTGCATTTGTTGTGGGGTTTTTTTAAAAAAACAACAACCAACAACCCAATTATGCGAAAGATTGCATTGCAGGGGATTGGACTAGATGACCCTAGTGCCCCCTTTCCAACTCTACAATTCTATGAGTCTATGAATAAGCCCCCATTTTACTTTGACAGAGTGGTTTATACCATATAGCTGTTTTACTTTTGACTGTTCAAAGCAGGGACCATGTCTTACCATAAGGTGCTTGTAGAATGTCTATAAAAACACATGCCTACCAGGACTCAGTTGAACAGCTGCTCTCTTCATATACATTTTTAATGTTAACATTGTGTACAGTACAGTAAGTGTTATTCAGATAGCAAAATGGCTAGTTTCCTAAAAAATACCTAGAATAAAGGTAGTTCAATCCAGGTGCATAAGATTGTATCTGTATACCCTTTGGGATTGAATAGAATGACTTCTGAATACCTATTTTCTTTTCTATGCCAAAGATAACAGACATTGTTAAATAAACCCATTAGGTATGTTGTTAAGGTAGAAATGTAATTGCCGGAGCACTATGGTTTGTGTTTGTTTGTGTGTGTGTGTGTTCTGTTTTACTGTTGTGTTCCCTGTTGGAGATACATGCCCTGTGGCAAAGAAATCAGAAGTGAACCCAGAAGTATGGAAGGAAAGGTGATGAATTTTTAAAAGCACATTATGTGGAAAAGTGCATTTCAGATTTCTTGTATCTTCCCTTGAAACCTTAATGAGGCTTTTTCTTTCTTGCATGATGCAGGGGGGGAGGGTTGTGAGAGAGGGCTGCCAGATATAAAATAGAATTGTATTACTTCAGCCACAAAGCCTCAAGTCCCCATATCCCACCGTACAATTGTACAATAAGCAGATGCAAAAACAGTGAGTGCAAAAGGGGAAGAGGGAGATCCACTTTACCAAGCTTCATAATTTTGTGCCACCTTAAAGGGACGATACACCTGTTGTTCAAAGGATTATGTTTTCATTGTCATTTCAAACACAATCCCTCTCTTTCATTTTTGATAATTGATAACAGAAAATTGTAATGAATTACTGATTGGGGAACTCTTGACCGTGCCTACCAGGATTTCACGGCTACTCAAGAGACTGTTGAAAAAGTAGCTCTGCCAGCAAGGCACCCTGAATTACTGCATTTAACAGATTTATTACATGAAATAATTCCAGGCAAAAACAATAATATATTTTAAATGTGGGTTGTTGACCTTCCTTGGAGGTTTTTAAGCAGAGGTTGGATTGCCATCTGTCATGGATGCTTTAGCTGAGATTCCTGCATTGGAGGGGGTTGGCCTAGATGGCGCTTGGGTCTCTTCCAACTCTATGAATCTATGAAAAAAACTGTTTGGTTTTTTTGCTGTCCCAGAATCCTTTGGAATGGAAGGGTAGAAATTTAAGAAATAAATAAACTATTACCAAGGTCTTCTAAAATATGTTGTAAATAAAGAAGCCCTAGGATGGAGTGCCTTGCTCAGAAACAGCACCCTGTAAAACAAGGATGTAATCAAAGTCCAGCTGTATAGCTCAGTTGTTTAGAGTGTGGTGCTGATAATGCAAAGGTTACAGGTTTGATCCCCGTAAGGCAGAAGTTTTCAACCTTTTGGGGTCCATAGTTCCCTTGACCAACTGCAGTCTTTCGGCGGCACCCCTGTGGGACTCAGGAGCCCAGTTATGTCACCCCGTGCCTGCAGAGCTGTCAGCTGCGCACCCCTCCCTTCTGGGGGGGTTCCATCAGCCTCCTCTTCTCCTTTCTCCTCTGGGCAGCCACAGCTGTTCTGCCTCCTCAAAGAGAGATGCTTCCTCGCACTGCCCAACAGGGGCCTGGGAAGCACACACACACACACCCCGGCTATCCCCAAAGGCATCATTTACCTGGGGAGCTTGTAGCCAGGGCTGCTGCAACAAAGAGCTTTATAAGTCTTTCGGAGGCAGGGATGTGAGAGGGCACCAGACGAAGGAAGGGAAAGAAAGAGGGATAGAGACCAGTGTTGCCCGCACCACCCACCCCGATCATCATTCAAGGCACCCAAGGGTGCCACAGCACCCTGGTTGTAAACCACTGCTGTAAGGGACAACTGCATATTTCTGCATTGAAGGGAGTTCAGCTAGATGATCCTCGTCGTCTCTCCCAATTCCATGATTCTATGATCAGTCTATACCAGGGGTGAGGAACCTTGTACCCAGGGACTGAATGGAGTCCTTCTGGCCTTATCTGAAACATTCCCCAAGCCACACATTCCCCAGCCACATTTCACACCTTCTTGAGCAGTTTTGCCTGGCTAGGTTGCATCCTTGAAATCTGGAAATGCCTGAAGGACAGCGATCGTCCTGACAGTGTGTGCAAAAACTTGCTAACTGTACAGAGGTAAAGTTTAGATTTGTTGCTCTGGCCAGTTTTGCATCTGGCTCTTCCTAACCCTAATGCAGGACCTGGAAGCTTCTACAGGAGCAAATGTGACCCTTTAGCTGTGAAGTATTATTCACCCCTATCTATAAAACATTAGTAATAAGAAAAGGATACTATGCTGCCTTCATCTTTTAACTCAATTGAATTTTAACAATATTTTTATTCATTATTAATTAAAAAAAACAAATGAACTTAAACCTATCCAAGACCAATTTCTGCATTTTATCTTCAGAAAAATCAGGTATAAATGAAGGCAGTGAAACTTCCTCTTAATTTTGCCAGACTGTCATTAATTGATAGAAGTCCTTTTGATTCTTTAATGGATCTATTAAGAATATTGTTATTTTCAGTGTGTAAGGTAACAATCCCATCTGCTCAGAAAGATTAAGATGTTTAAGAGTGCATACAGGGCTAATTCTCTCCTCCCTCCCCCACCCAAGGCAGTGGAAATAGATTTACTGCTTAAATTAAGCCACGTGTGGAGCTGGGTGAAAGTTTGTTGAAGCTCACAATCTAAACAGATGTTATTGTAATTTGGAGCATCATTTATAGCACACATTTGAGGAACACAAATCATACAGAGGCAGTTTACATATGGGGGAAAACAAACCCTAGAGAACGACAAGTCAATGTGGGGTGCTTTGATAAACTCCTTTTTATTTTTAAGTGTTACGTGATAACAAACATACTGTACATGATAACAAATATAACAGCATATACTGCATTCATAATATTCAAAATCAAACTATTATATATAATTATATTCCATTAATTAGGTATAGATTTATATTAAATCTTCAACAAATCACTTTAAACAGATAAATAAATATTTATAAAATCTGCATAAATGTAATATATATATATATATTATAGTAGTAATTTATTACATCAGCAGTGAAAGGGGGTTAAATAATTCTAAATTAAGCTTTTCTTCATATAACTGAGAAAAGGAAATCATTTCAGTTTTTTTCTGTCTCCTGTCTCTTCATTTCACCAGCTTTGTAAGTTTTGCAGTAGTTTGCAGCATACCACATCTCATAACCATTCTCTTTCAGTGAGAATTTAAGCAGATCACAGCTAGCAAATTTTGGCTGCTCGTAATTATTTTCTAGCTAAAGGAAGACAATTTGGTCAAATCTCATTTCTGTGCTATCCAAACAATACTTGTGTGAGATTCAGTGGTGCTGAACAATCTCTTCTCTATAATCTTCAGTATCTTCCCCCAATAAGGTATGCAACTCTTTTGCTCCCTTGCAAAGGACTTCCCCTACAGGGTACCCTTCAGATATTGAAGATTACAACTTCCAGAGCTGGCCCACCCATAAGGCAGGGTGAAGCAGCCGCCTCAGGCAGCAGAGAAGCAAGAGGCAGCACCCCCACCTGTGCCCTACCCTGCCGCTGGCAGGGAAACAGCCCAGGTAAGGGAGGTGCTGGCAGCAAAGCGGCCCAGCATTCCATTGACCAGGCTTGCCACCTGTCTCCCCTGCCCCTAGGGGGTGGAGAGGGAGTGGCAGCAAAGCTCTATAGAACACTTCCGATCTTTCAAAGACAGAAAGAGGGGAGATGTTCCACTGCCCAGCTTTGCCACCAGGGAGGAAGGAAGATTTTGTGTTCTTATATCTGCTGGAAGCTGCCCAGATTGGCTGGGAAACCCAGTCAGATGGGTGGGGTATGATGATGATGATGATGATGATGATGATGATGCAAGAATTCCCCCAGCTTAATCCCACCCCACGGTGGTGTGGTGAAACTTTTCAAGGGCTTCTCCTTAAGAAGTCCTTATAGAGCCTTCTGCCCCTCCAATGCAGCGGCGGCAGCAGGCACCAAAATATGTTGGGCTGCCCCAACAACTACCATCTTCCTTCCCAACCATACTGGGTTCCCGGTGAGGCTTTTAACCATGTTCAGTGGTTCTTGGGGCAGAGGTCTGCCCTTCACTCTATTATTAACTGGCCATCTAGAAACAAGGACAAAAATAGGGCTCCAAAGTGATTTTAATTCATTTTTAACAATAGTGCGCATGTGGGTTTTTATAAAAATAAATAAATCAGGATTATTATTTTTAATGCTCAGTTGGCCACAGGAGTCTAATGAGCAAAGGTATATCTGGAGGGGCAGTTTCAGTTTGTTATTGTTTTCATCTTTATTAATATTTGACTTCTCACAATCTTGACTAAGCCTTCATACAATTCAATTCTTCATCTTCAAAGGGTGATTATATTTTTATTTAAAGCCACCTATATTGGCATTATCAATATTTCAATCTGAATGAAGATCAGCATGCACTCCTGGTTAGAATAATTTTAAAAACAGCTAGTGCTAATATTAGGAAGAGTAGGAGACTATATCTGAGGCTGGAGTGATGCAAAGCTTTTATGCGTAGAGAAATATTAAAGAGCACTAATTGCTTTCTGGATAATCATATCAAATACTCCTTAATTTAGTTCCATGCTTCTCTTGGATTCTCAGGTGAATGGTATATTATAGGAAACTCCAGTGTTTAATGTTTTTCACACTGTTGCCAACATCTTATATTAATTGGTATAAATATTTTCTTTCTCTTTCTTTCTTTCTATCATCTATCTATCTATCTATCTATTTATCTATCTAGCGTAGAGCTGAGAAATGGAAACAGGGGAATCTCCTTCTGTGGCTTTTGAATGCCATTCCAGTGGTTCACTGAGATGATGGGACATTAGAAGGTGCTTTGCTTTCAAGTACACAGCCTCACTTTCCTTTCATGCAGTCTCTGACCTTGTCTCTAGTCAGTCCTTCAGCACCACACCAAGCTCCCTGCTGCCTTGACCCTCTTCCCCTTGGTAACTAAAAAAAAGGTAAAGGACCCCAAATGGTTAAGTCCACTCAAAGGCGACTCTGGGGTTACGTGCTCATCCCGTTCTATAGGCCGAGGGAGCCAGCGTTTGTCTACAGACAGCTTTCTGGGTCATGTGGCTAGCATGACTAAACCGCTTATGGTGGAACAGAATACTGTGACAGAAGCCAGAGCGCACAGAAACACGGGTGGCATTGTGGTATAGACCATTAAGCCACTTGGACTTGCCGATCAGAAGGTCAGCAGTTCAAATCCGCGCAATGGAGTGAGGTCCCTTTGCTCTGTCTCAGCTCTTGCCAACCTAGCAGTTTGAAAGCACGCCAGTGCAAGTAGATAAATAGGTACTGCTGTGGAGGGAAGGTAATAGTGATGCACATCATTGAGAAGCCGGGTCAGTAAAACAGCCCCACCTGCCCCACCCACCTCAGCCACCCCACCACCATGATTGCTAGTCTGCTATGTATATTAGTAAGATTGGGAGATCATGCAGTTTCCCTAGTTTCTAAATCTTGTCCAGCTGTCACCAAGGGCAAGTCTGGTGGCCAGATATGAATTCATTTAAAACAATCAATAGGAATCTTTCCTGACATGGATCTTTTAATGAGTGAAACTCCCATGGTGCCATTTCACTAGTCAGTCTTGGGTGCTTCTATAGCAAATTCAACGTTCCTCATGGTGTCTGATCAAACCATTGTGGAAAATATGATATAATAGGAAAGTAAATTCTTCCTTAAGTGGAACTCATTCTGCATTATCAAATCCAGATGTGACAACCATCAATGACTTCACCCAGGATGTAATCGGAATGGCATCAGCCATTCCCAAGATGTGGGGAAGTCATTTCAAGCCTGCTCAATGTGAAAATATCTCGCAGAGCTGATCTGATAAATGGATTAAATCTTGGCTATAGGTTCAGCCATGAACATCGTAGGTGGCTTTCATTAATTCACTCCATCTCCAGCTTCAATTCTCCCATCTACAAAATGGAAATCTGTGCCATGTGCATCCCATACCATTATTCAGAGTTTGAAAACCATAAAAGAATATAGGCTTTGTACGTTATTCTATGCCAATTTAGAAAACTACTGCCCTTTTTTTGTCTTCTAACAAACATTCAAAAAATCTGCATGGTGTTACTAAGGAGCTTGGTTCAGCTGGCACTCTGCACATACCCTGAAAAGACATGATTCCCTTTCCTTCACCCAGCAGGGAATTGTGCAATGAGTGTGAAAGCATAGACTGGCTTACCTCATTGTTAAGAAATTATTTGTACTCCTGGGATCAAGAACTGCAAAAACCAATTTTAATTCAACATCAATAATTTATTCTTTTGAATAACTTGATAGTGATA